GCCATTTCCGCCCCCCAGCTCTTTAGACGGAGCCGAACACGAGCCAAGCCTGAGCTCGCCCAAGCTCGGCTCGTTTACAGCCCTAATTAGATATGTAAAAATTCATAAGAATTGAATGGTATTTATGTAAATCTCTCTAATTTAAAATTGTCAGTTTATAATACAGTTGGTAGATCAGAATATAATACATTACAGTGCATGCCACTAAATAATAGCTTGTACTTGGCACCTGGAAGTCTATATAATTTACACTTAGTGGGGCATTGGAGACTAATTAAACATAGGAGCAGTTTAGTTTATTAATGCATCATTAGTGCATTAATGCCACCCTAATGACAAGCTGTTATGCCTTTGTTTGATAAATAAAAGTTGTAAGGGATCGAGTGGTTAGTTAAATCCAAAGAAGATGCAATCTTAATGGCTTTAAGAAATTATAAAATCATAAAAATGTTATAATCATTATTATAAAATCTACATTTTTTTATATATTAATTTTACAACATAAAATCTACATTTTTTTTTTCATTTGTTTGTTTTGTTATTTATCAAATTGATTCGATGACAACAAATATAATACATTGTTTAAATTGCATTTATTTTACACTATATTTTATCTGTTAGTAAAATAGGAGTAAATAGGGCTGTCAAAATGGTTCGTTGTTCGCGAACAACACCTGTTCGGCTTTTTAGATAGCTTGTGTTTGATTTGTTTGCTAAGCAAACGAGTTGAGCCTGAATAATTTTTTTTGTGCTTGATATATAAATGAGTCGAACAGGAGCAATGTTTCGTTTGTTTGTGTTCTGCTCGTTTTGGCTCGAAATATTGTATATATATATTAATGAATTTTTTTTTAAATAATTTAATTGCCTACAAAGCTATAAAGATTTATAATCAATTAAAATTACAATTTAAAAATAGAATAAAAAAACACTAATTCTTATTTAAATGAATATTTTAATATAAATGATAGGATTTAAATCCCGCTCTACCCTTGACATCCTTCAGTTATGTGACTAGGGTTGTCAAAATGGCTCATTGTTCGTGAACAACTCGTGTTCAGCTCGATAAGCAAACGAGTCAAACACGAATAAATTTAGTGAGCTCGATATATAAACAATTCGAACATGAGCAATGATATTTCTTAACAAGTCGAGCCTCGGCTTGCTGAAGCTCGGCTCAATTTCACCCTCCCCGTTTGCGTGACTTGGGTCCTTTTTGCTCGCGAACAACTCATGTTTGGCTCGCTAAGCGCTTTTTTTTTTTAAAGTATGAACGAGTTGAACACGAATAGTGGTATTTTTTAACGAGCCGAACAAGAGCTGAGCCCAAACTTGCTCGTGTTCGGCTCGCTTACACCTCTAGGAATAAATTCATATGGCTGTAAATGCAGCTTCAATAGTGAAGCATGCATGTTAGTATTTCCTATTATAGAATGTGAACAGGAGAGCACAATTTTGGAGTTTTGTTGCCTTCAATTGACCAATTCTCCCTATCTTTTTAATTCCCTTTCTAGTTTTTATGGTCCCATCTTTTCATGCAGCTTTCATGATGTAGAAAACTCAACATACAACACATGACATGTCCAATAGTCCTCCCCTAAATTTCCTCTATTTCTCTTAAATTTCATAAACATTTGGGTCATTTACATACATACCACCAAATTCCTATATCTTTACCTACCCCAACTTCACTTTTTTATGCTTATACCATAATAATATTTTATATCACATCTTAAAATATCATTATTTTAATTTTTTAAAGATGAAAATAGGTTTTCAAGGGGTTAGATATGTAAATACATAAAAATTTACTTTTATCCATGTAAATCCTTATTGTTTGTATATTACATTACTAAAACATATATTGTTATGGAAATATTTTGCGGTTTCATTTGTAAATTTAATTGTTGATATGCGGAGTTCACGCTTGTCATTATTATAATTGTTATTTTAAAGGGCATATGATTGGAGTAATGGTTAGAATGTCTTTATTGTGTCGTGGAGATTATGAGTTTAAACTATGTAAATAATCTCGCTGTAAATATTATATTGTGTGTTAGATCTATTTCCAATATCATAGTGAGGTGACCTTCATGTATATGAGAAATAAATACGTCTGTCGTATAATGATATGGATCGCATCACGTTGTTGTACACAGAGCATGATGTGATCTAGACCGTCATCTGCACGTCCAATTATTCAAATATAATGTTTTCGTCTTATATAATTTTTTTATCTTTATTTTTGTTTTTAATTTTTTTTTATTATTTTTTTAAGATAAATTTTATATCTTATAGTTTATTCAATAAAAAAAAAAGTCCTGCTTAGGTTTAGTATTATTACATTTTTTTTATTATTAGAAAAAATAAAAATTAAATATATTAAAATATGGTGAATTAAGAAGCTATTATCCAATTTTATAAAAAGAAAATAGGAAAATTTACCTACTAAGCACATATTTTTTATTGATTTACATATCTCACACCTAAAATTTCATATTTATATAAATAAAATTTTGATTTGATATACAGATATCATAATTGGAATGAAGAAAAGTAAATAGAAATTTATTTTCTTTTTTTTTTTTTTACTGCTCCTAATCTTTTTGCTGGTTATTTAATTTTTTTTTATAAAATATTTTTAATAAGAATTATTTTAATTTAGAATTTTTTTATTAACACCTTCAATTAATAATATTTTTCAAAAAAAAATTATTATAAAAAAGATGGATCAAATAAAAATACATATTTTACTTTTAAAAAATGGCAAGAAAATCTGTAAAAAGAGGAACAAAACCCAGATGCTCTCCTCTAATTTCGAGCAGCTAATTTCTCTCAGCGATGCAGCGTGAAAAAAACAAACTAATTCTGGACAGGAAGTACTGCGCTCTTAGAGCTTCTGGAATGGCTGAATGGAAAGAAAGATCTTCTAACCTTACCAGAACTGCCATTGCTGCTTCCCTCACCATTTCTCAAATCTTGCAAATCTCTGCCATTTTGCAGAATCTCCTGAACCGCAATACAGAGCAGCCTATCCTTGGAAGAATCCAAGGAGAAAGATCTTCTCATCGGCTGAACTCCAAACTCCCCCCTTTCTCCTCTCATGTCAATACATTCATCTCCCATACTCGACACGTGAGTCGTCCTCTTCCTCTCATCCCTCGCCTCAAACCTCAGCTCTCTTCTCCTCGCCTCTGCAGCCAAGTTCTCACCTTCAGCAGAATTCTGACTAAAAGTTCCCTTTTTGATCTCATTTGTGAGCGTCGGAGATGTGGTTTTGATTTCTGACCTGCAAATGGGGCAGTTCTTATGCGTCTGAAGCCATGTATCAATGCAGTCTATGTGGAACACATGAAAGCAATTGGGAAGCATTCTTATCCTTTCTTCTTCTCGGAACTCATTCAGACAGACTGAACATTCATAAAAGGAGCACTGAAATCTACTTCTTTTATATCGAAAGTTCGGTATCGACTGAATTTCGCACTCTTGGAGCCCATTGACGTCGAGGATTGAGGAGTGAGAAGCCAAGATGTCCTCACGGCCGCGGCGGCGAAGATGGGAGCTAGAGATGGAGGAGATGATTCTGAAGTGCTGCAAATTCAAGCAGCACTTTGTTACAAAGAGATAGTAGCTAAGGAGGATAATGGAAGTAGCAAGAATTCCTATAATGGAGACAGTCAGTACAGGAAAGCTGGACTCTGAGGACTCTAATGGAGTTTCTGGAGCCATTGGAGAAAGAGGATCTTAAGAGTGGAAGAATTTGATGATTTGGAAGATGGGGAAGATGATATGAAGGGGATGAGATTTATGAGGAATGTGCTGAGACGAAGAGATCTGAGTGGAAGAGAGTGGCTAACAGAGGAAGGGAGGAAAAGAGGTGGGAAGATAAGAAATGTAGGATTCAGTCAATATAAAAAACTGATTTTTTTTATTACCATCTCCTTCACCTGAGGACATGAGAGCTGACTCATTAATCTGTGATTCAAATGTTTGTTTCTTTGTTTATATATTGTTTTTTGTGTGGCTAAGCAGTGGAGGTAACATGTAATGTTGGTGTTGAAGTGTTGTTTTTTTTTTTTCCTTTTCATGCGGTTGAAGGAAAGTTTAGTAAGACTATAACAACTTTTAGAATTTTTTCTCTCTAGAAAAGCTACAATAACATTCATAAGAAGTTTACAGTTGTCCTAAACTTACCCTCAGTATGGAAAAACTATTACAAGCGGGCATCTGAATAGTATAAATTCACGTGTATGTGACATGGTGTCTCCACATCCACCGTTGTTCGTATATAATAATTTCTTGTCAATATGTGCCAACTTCGAATCAGGCCTAACACTCCCTTGATTAATATTTTGATCATTTTCTCTCTTATTTTTAATTCCTAACCTCTTATCGTAGTCTTTGCTCAAATTATTTTTTCCCCATCATTTTTGTATCATACTATACACTTCAAGTATCTAATCTCATTCCTAATCTCCCCGCACCCACCATTGTCTTTTATCATCCTTCTCTCAACATTTAAAATATTTAGTAAACTTAAAAACTACGATAAACCAATTGTAAATCACATAATAAATCTATCAATCATTCTCTCTAAATAACAATTTTTTTTTCACTCTATTTACATATATACCTCCAACTTCCTTTGTTCATACATATCTAACATAAAAATTTAATTTTTATACATTCATCACCTAAAATTTTCATCAGATAAAAAATGTCACAATCTTAAATTTTCAAAAACTTTAGATGTACCTTTTCATTGATAGCCCATATGGCATATATTTAAAAATTGAAGTTTAAGGAGCAAATGTGTAAATACATAAGAATTAAGTGACATGCATGTAAATCTTCCTTAATTTTTCTCCATAGGAAGCCTCATAGTGCAATTTCTTATAAAGAAAGGGTAAAAATTAGCAAGGTGTGTCTTTTGATGTGAATATGTGGGGGGATTCAGATGAGGCCATGTGATTTGATGGGTTGGGATCCAATTGGCAGACATGGACTGTGACTCAGACATGCATACTCCTACACTTGAGTCTTATCAATGTACATTAATAGCCTAAAGTCCTTGGCCTTTATGTAGCAAATAATACCCTTCTTTCTAGCCTATTCACTCATCCATTTTTGGTTCGTTTTATATTTACCTTTTTTTAATTATTATTTTTTTTCTTAATTGGTTTATAAATATATTTTTAATATATATA